CCTTGATCACAGGGACCCGAGGTTTGAACCTGGAGGACAGCTGAGTGAGGACCTCGCCAAGTAACTGCTGGTGTTTCAGAACCTTCCTCATCTTCATGATTCTCACGATGGCCGCCTATGCAACCAGATAAGGAAAAAGAGGTGCATTTAGAGCTGTTAACAACTTAGTATTGACAGTTAAGGGCAAGCCGCACAGAGGCTGCCAATGCTACGCACAGGATCACCATTTCCTAATGGGCAACAAGCGTCCTGCCGGTGAGACGGGAGAGGCAACCAATTCTACTCGCCTATGTTTCAACTCTAACGTGGCAAACATTACGTTTTGGTCTTTTGAGCAATGTGACCTCAATAATTTAACTCAACCATAAAGCATTAAAAAAAGGAGACAAAATTAAGTCAAGGCCTCGGAAGCTGCCCATCCTCCCCGCTGAAGCACTCTCCATCCCCCTCGTTTCAGCTGGGCCTGCCACAATGTCTGCTTTCCAACATGTAGAGCAAGAGGACTGCCCTGTTTTGCCTGGTGACATAAAGGACTAATTCAGATAACAAGGCCCTGGCTCTCGGCCTTGCCACCTTCTGCCATCACAGAGCCATTCATCTGGCAATCACTCCTGAGTCAGCCCCGCTCCCCCACGGCCCGTTCTTGTGAGCCATCCCTGCGTGAGGGACCGCACACCCGGCACAGGCATACAGGAAGTCACCTGAATCAGTAGTTTGCGGTCTTCCTCGATATTTTTGTGTGTGGTTTCTTGTTCCTGCTTCTGTTCGGTTTTCATTGGCACATTGATGTTAACCCTTAATTTCTTACTACCAAGAAAATGGAGGAAACCGATCACTATCATGTTAAAAGGTAGGCAATGAAGGCTGCTTTCTATTTGTCAACCTTTAAGCAGTGCCCCTGCTTCCCCAGACAGACGGGAGCGTTGATTTCTGTGAGCTCTATGTGAAAACGCCTCTACCCGGCACTGGGCAGAGTCCGATCACAGCGTAGTTTCCTACTTGGCCATTAACAGGGACATCCACATTACAGAAAATCCAGGTCCTTAATCTGCTCTCCCAAATTTTGTCAAGTGAAATAAAATCAAGCCACTTGGACATAAAGGTCCAAACTTTCCTGATGAGCCATTTAACGAGACCTATGTGCCAAATAAATAAACAAAAAACCCAGCAGCTCAGAGTTGGAGAAACATCAGGCTTGCTGAATGGAATCGAGGGCCTACCTCACACTCCCAGCCTAGTGCCTGTTGCTTCATACTGAGTCCCCGTCTCCCTCGGTTCACAACAATACTGAGATCTGTGCTAGGGCTCCCGGGGGACACGTCTATGGTCTAGGGCCATCTATTTATTAGATTTTTCTTACTTTTTATAACCAAGATATAATTTTATTAAGGTATCTGGCTTCAATTCCACTTCATCAACATTTGCATTTTCATCTTCCAAGACCTGTAAGAAAACAAGTGTTACTATATAATCTCAGGAAAAGGCTTTCTTCTAGCATAAGATAGAAAGTGCACAAACCTACCAGTAACTTTGATTTTAATAAAATCTGTAGGACTTGTGCCAAAATGTCCTGCAATTAAAGAGAAAAAGAGGAAGTTAAAGGGACAATGCATTTTTCTTTGCAATAACCACCACAGGCAACCTCATGGTCCATTTTCCATTAAAAAAAAAAAAATCACCCAAAAAGAAGAATATGCTGGAAGGAAAAAAAAGTTGGTACTTCTTAGAAGTTCGCTAAATTTACTGCTTCCTTCCACCCTGACTCCTAGAAGTGAAATCAACCCCTTTCTGGCCTTGACCACCCAATAATAAAAATCAACAATTCTGTTATACTTAAATCAGGTTGAGTAACCCTTATCTGAAATGCCTCGGACTAGAAATATTTGGATTTCGGGATACTGTACTGGATTTACAGATTCAGCAGCCCTGATTGGAAAATCCGAAATTTGAACTGCACCATGAGCACTTTTTTTTTTTTTTTTTGAGCGTCATGTTGGTGCTCAAAAATGTTCGGATTCTGGAGCATTCTAGAATCTGGATTTTTGGATTAGGGATGTTGAACCTGTACTGGAAGCCACGCACAGTGAAATCTTGAGGAACCTCTTCACTTCTTAAGCGCCTGACAGCTCATCTTGGACACCGATCATCACAAAAGAAATATTAAAGAGCTGCCCAGCAGGACTGAAAATAATGTCCTGCTCATGAGAACGATGGGGCTCAGCGGCAGGTGACCACGTCAGCTTGGCTTTGATGCACTCAAGCACGTTGTGTGGCCTCTCATCTGTGAACGCTGGGTGTGGTAAACGCTTCCCAGCCCTCCTTCAGCCTCACAGCTTTATGATCCTATGAAATCCAAGGGGACCAGCCTGAGGGCACTCACACAGTCACACGGACTCTTACAACCCATGGAGAGTGGAGTCCTGGCATCATAATGGGTACCCATTCTGGTCCGAGGGTACGTGGTTAAAGCTGTCAAAGTGAGAGGCCTCTCTCTAGTCTAGTAACTGACCCAGAGCTGCACAGCAGCCATTCCAATACTGCCAGCTGCATCTAGAGTAGGGTGCGGGGGTGCCCACCTCCTGAGCCAGGTCTGATTGGACAACGTCTACCGTAGACAGAAAGGAGAGAGCAGCTGCAGCCTCCTGAAGGAGTTCTAACACTGAGAACCAGTCTGGAGAGTGGCCGAGAACCCTGATCAGAAGAAGCCAAGCGAAGACAGGACAGTCACCCCTGTCAGCCTTGTCCTCAGGGCCCGTCTGCGACTGGACAGTCACCCCCGTCAGCCCTGTCCTCAGGGCCCGTCTGCACAGCCCTCCCCATAGTCTAGGAGGCAACCCAGCCTCCAACCTACAAAGGCACAAACTCATTTTGTTATGAGAATTTGAAGATATATTTGTCAGTAATTTGAAGAATGACTACAAAATAGTCATTCAAAATGACTTTCCTAACTCAGTCCATAAGGCCAGTATTAGCCAGACACTAAAACCAAACGAACATCTTGAGAAAACAATAGAGCAATGTCCCTTATGAATATAAATGCAAAACTCGAGAAAACACTGGCAAGCTAAACCCAACAACATAGAAAAACGATTAGATACCATGACCAAGTGGGATTCACCCTGAAAACAGCAGGGTAGTTCAACATCCGTGCAATACACCATATTAACAGACAGAAAAAGCACCGTTCCTTCGACAGAGTAGAAAAAGCAGTCTGACAAACTACAACACTCTTTCATGATACAAAATTCAATAAGCTAAGAATAAAAGGGAACCTCTTTAGTCTGATAACGGACATCTAGTAAAAACTCACAGCTAACACCGTCACTGGTTAGCATCGCAGTTAAACAGTAAAAGACTGGAAGCTTTCCCAGTAAGGGCAGCAACAAGACAAGGATGCTTGTTCTTACCACATCCATTCAACAGTGTACCACAAATTCCAGCCAGAAGAATCAGGCAAAAAAAAAAGACAAACAAACAAGAAATAAAAGGCAGACACATAGGAAAAGGAAGAAGCAAAACTGTCTGTATTTATAGATAATATGGCTGTATATCAAAAAACGCTAAAGAATCCCCCCAAAAACTATTTGAGCTAATAAATTAGAGCCAATAAACCTTTAGCAATGTTATAGAATCAAAATATAATGAGTTGTATTTCTATACATTTGCAGTGAGCAATCAGAAAGTGAAACAGGCTGACATGGCAGCTCATGCCTGTGTAATCCCAGCACTTTGGAAGGCCAAGGTGAAAACGTCACTTGAGTCCAGGAGTTCAAGACCAATCTGGGCAACACAGTGAAACACCATCTCTACAAAAAATACAAAAATCAGCTGGGCATAGTGCCAGCTACTCCGGCGGCTGAGGAGAGAGGATCATTTGATACTGCAGTGAGCTGTGACTGCACTATTACACTCCATCCTGAGCAAGAGTGAGACCTGGTTTCAAAAAAAAACCAGAAAAAAGTGAAATTAAGAAAACAATTCCACCAGGCGCGATAGCTCACGCCTGTAGTCCCAGCACTTTGGGAGACCGAGGCAGGCAGATCACCTGAGGTCAGGAGTTCGAGACCAGCCTGGCCAACATAGTGAAACCCTATCTCTACTAAAAACAAAAAATTAGCCAGGCATGGTGGCTTGTGCCTGTAATCCCAGCTACTTGGGAGGCTGAGGCGGGAGAATTGTTGGAACCCGGGAGGCAGAGGTTGCAGTGAGCCAAGATTGCACCACTGCACTCCAGCCTGGGAGACAGAGCAAGACTCTGTCTCAATTAAAAAACTAAAAACCAATTCCATTTACATTAGCATCAAAAATAATAAACTAGGAATAAATTGACAGTAATACAAGATGCATACACTGAAAACCATGAGACACAGTTGAAAGAAAAGACAACCTAAATAGATGAAAAGACATCCAATGTTCATGGAATGGGAGACTTAAAATACTGTTGAGATAGCAACACTCCCCAAACCAATCTATAGATTCAGTGCAATCCTTATCAAAATCTCAACTGCACTTTTCGCAGAAATGGACAAGCTGATCTTGAAATTCATAAGGTAACATAAGGGACTCACAATAGCCAATATAATCTTGGGGTGAAAAAACAAAGTTAGGGGTCTCCATTTCAAGATTTACTGCAAAACAAGAGTAATCCAGACAGCGTGATACTGACATAGTATAGCTATACAGATCACTGGAAAAGAATTGAGAATCCAGAAATAAAGCCATGTATACCCATGGCCAGCTGACTTTTGACAAGTCTGTCAGCACCAAACAACAGGGAAAGAACAGTCCTTGGCCTCAGACTAGGCAATGACTCCTTAGAAATGACACCAAAATCACAAACAGCAAAAAGAAAAAATAGATAAAATAGGCTTCATTAAAATAAAAAATGTGTATATAAGAAAGAGAGTAAGAAGACAACCCACAGAATGGGAGAAAATATTTACAAATTACGTATTTGATAAGGATCTAGTATACAGAATATTAAAAGAATTTTTAAGTCGAGCCAGTGTCGTCGCGATGGTGGTGTTGGAGAGCGAGCAGTTCCTGATGGAGCTGACCAGACTTTTCCAGAAGTGCCGGACGTCGGGCAGCGTCTATATCACCTTGAAGAAGTATGACGGTCGAACCAAACCCATTCCAAAGAAAGGTACTGTGGAGGGCTTTGAGCCCGCAGACAACAAGTGTCTGTTAAGAGCTACCGATGGGAAAAAGAAGATCAGCACTGTGGTGAGCTCCAAGGAAGTGAGTAAGTTTCAGATGGCTCATTCAAACCTACTGAGAGCTAACATGGATGGGCTGAAGAAGAGAGACAAAAAGAACAAAACTAAGAAGACCAAAGCAGCACCTGCCGCAGCAGCAACACCAGCAACACCAGCAACAGCAGCACCTGCCGCAGCAACACCAGCAGCAGCAGCAACAGCAGCACCTGCCACAGCAGCAACAGCAGCACCTGCCACAGCAGCAACAGCAGCACCTGCCACAGCAGCAACACCAGCAGCAACAGCAGCACCTGCCGCAGCAACACCAGCAGCAGCAGCAACAGCAGCACCTGCCACAGCAGCAACAGCAGCAACAGCAGCA